CTGATTGACTATCACAATGTGAACTGATCAGCAGCACATGACTTTTTCATTTTGGAATATCCTCTAGAAATTGGCGTAGCCATTTCAACTTCTTCACCACATTTATCCAAAGCAACTAACTTGAATTCCATTGTGGATGTAGCTATCAAAGTTTGTCTCGAGGATTTCCATTACACAACAGCTCCAGCTAGCGTAAACACATAGCCACTTGTGGAATAGGAGTCTTTTATATCAGATATCCAATTTCCATCAGTTTAACCTTCTAAAATAGATGGATAACTGGTATAATGGAGTCATAACTACGTGTATGTCTTATGTACCTTAGTACTCTAGTTATAGCAATCCAATGTTCGGTAATCACGTTACTCGTATATGAGTTCAACTTGCTTACAGAGTAAGCAATATCTGGTCGCGTACAACTCATTAGATACATTAAACTACCAATTACCCGAGAGTATTCTACTTGAGAAACACCCTCTCCAAAATTCTTCAGTAAATGGAAATTAGTATCTAAAGGAGTTTTAGCAATTCCAGAGTCTTCCCATTAATCTCATCAAGAATCTTGTTTATGTAGTGAGTTTGACTCAACACTAGACCATTTGGTCTCCCTATGATATTAACCCCTAAAATCACGTCAGCAAGACCCATTTCTTTCATGTCAAGCTTCGAAATTAACATGTTCTTAGTAGATTTGAACAACTTATCACTACTACCAACTATGAGTATGTCATCCAAATATAAACACCAAATGACATAATCATTTCTTGTCTTTTTGGCATAAACACATTTATCACACTCATTGATCTTAAAACCACTAATAACCATTGCATGGTCAAACTTCTCATCCCATTTCTTTGGTGCATGTTTCAAACCATACAAAGATTTTACTACTTTACACACTTTTTTCTTAGTACTAGGAGCAAAAAAAGCCTCAAGTTCCTCCATATGGATTTCTTCATCTAAATCTCCATTCAAGAATGGTGTCTTTACATCCATTTGATGTATTTCTAAATTCCTAAAGGCTGCAATCGCTATTATCATCCTTATAGATGTTATTCTCATTACAGGAGAATACGTATCAAAGTTATCTAAGCCTTCTCGTTGCTTATATCCTTTGATTATAAGTCTGGCCTTGTACTTGTCGATAGAACCATTTGGTTTTAGTTTCCTTTTAAAGATCCATTTTGAACCTAAAGGTTTACTTCTTGGTAGGAGATCCACTAACTCCTAGGTATGATTATGCAAAATAGAATCGATCTCACTTTTTATGGCTTCTTTCCATAAAGGTCCTTCGGAGGAACTCATTGCCTCAGCATAATTTAGTGGTTCCTTCTCGAATAGGTATGAAACAAAATCATCACCATATGACTTTTCTACCCTTGGCCCCTTGCTTTTTCTTGGTTCAACATCTTGAACCTCAACCTGATCTTGACAATCTTCAACAGGTTGTTTTAACGAACTTGTATTATCATTTGACTTACAAGGAAACACGTTCTCAAAAAAAGATGCATTTCTTGATTCTATTGTCGTGTTCTTGTGAATAACCGGAATTTCTGACTCATGCACAAGGAATCGGTAAACAGTTCTATTCTATGCATAACCTATGAAAATGCAGACCACAGTTTTGGAACCTATTTTTATTGCCTTTGGCGGAGGTACAAAAACCTTTACCAGACACCCCCACACTCGTAGGTGTTTGTAAGATGGTCTCTTACCTTTCCATAATTCATATGGAGTCTTATGTTCCTATTTTTGAGGTACCCTATTTAAAACATAGTTACTAGACAAGACGACTTCTCCCTACATGTTAGGAGGTAGCCCTGAACTTAACAACAACGCGTTCATCATTTCCTTCAATGTGTGATTTTTCCGTTTAGCAATCCCATTAGATTGAGGTGAATAAGGTGTTGTCACTTCATGAACAATTCTATGTTTTGTACACAAGCCACCAATTGGTGCTTCATATTCGCCACCTCTATCACTTTTCAATCTCTTTATCTTTTGCCAAGCTGAATTTCAACTTCAGTTTTAAAGAGAACAAATGTCTCTAAAGCTTCATATTTACATTTTGACAAGTAAATATAGCAATATTTAGTGCAAACTGTGATAAATTATTTATTAGCACCTCGTGTTTGAACAGGTTTCAAATCACAAATATCACTATAAATTAATTCAAGTGGTTCAGTGCTTCTTTCAACCGTTTGAAAAAATGACCTTGTTAATTTTGCTTCTATGCAAATTTCACATTTGTGTGCTAAATCAAATTGGAACGTTGGTATATGGTTCAAGTTAATTAGTGGATGCATCGAATCAATATTAACGTGGCCTAGTCTACCACACAACTTGGAAGACTCAATCAAGTAAGCAGGAGAGGTACATGCATTCATTTCTTCAACAATAGTCATTACATTCATCTTGAACAACCTATCGGTTGCATACCCCTTCCCAACAAACATTCCTGACTTAGACAGAATAAACTTATCAGATTCAAATACAATGCGAAAGCCATTCTTATTCAACATGAATCCCAACACTAGGTTCTTGCGAACTTCTGGCACATACAGCACATCAGTGAGCGTCAATATCTTGCCCGAAGTCATCTTCAGCTTCACTGTTCCTTTGCCAACAACAGTGGAAACAACTCCATTCCCCATGTTGATCTTCTCTCCACGGACTGATTCAAAATTAGTGAACTGGTTTCTTTGGGTGCACACATGCCTAGACGCGCCAGTATCGATCCACCATTTCTTCGGGTTGGACTCCACCATGTTCACTTCAGACACCACATCAACAAGATGCATGTCCTCCACTTCTTTAGTGATTTCTTTGACCATGTTTCCCTCATAATCCTTCTTCGGGAAGCAACAATCAGAAGACATATGACCTGATTTACCACAATTAAAGCAAATACCTTTAAACTTGTATTTTTGCTTTGAGATACGACCAATAGTCCCTAACTTCCCCTTTCCTTTGTTGGCGTTGTTGATTTTGGCCTTGTTCTTTGAGCCTTGGCCTCTATCATACTCTACAATATTGACGTTAGTCTGTACGCCATTGGATGCCTTCGATTCGGACTTTCTGTTTTCTTCTTCAATGCGAAGCCTAACGATCAAATTCTCAGGGGACATCTCCTTACGCTTGTGCTTGAGGTACTTCTTGAAATCCTTTCAGCCCGGAGGCAACTTCTCAATGACCGCAGCCACTGGGAAGGTTTCACTTAAAATCATCCCCTCAGCCTCGATGTCGGGCAAAATCAACTGGATCTCTTGCACTTGATTGTCAAGGGTCTTGGAATCAACCATCACATGATCAAGAAACCGTCCGACAACAAATTTCTTTGAGTCGGCATCCGCCGATTTATGCTTACGGTCCATGAATTCCCACATATCTTTGGCTGTCTTAAATTTTCCATACACAATGTATAAGGAATCATGAATTCCATTCAAGATATTGTTATGGCAAAGGAAATCAGAACGCTTCCAAGTTTCATAAGCAGCAACTGTTGGTCCATTGGAGCTTCCTTTCGGCAACAGTGGAGCTACTTCTGCCAAGAGTTTGGCCAAATTAAGAGTAGTCAAGTAGAATAACATCTTTTGTTACCACCGCTAGAATGTTGCAGTCGTCCCATTGAACTTGTCCAGCTTCTCAACGTAGCTTGCTGGAACATTAGGCACATCAAGAGCAACAGTGGGAATAGCAGCAGGAGCAGCATCTCCCTGAACAACAGTAACAGTTGTCACCCTAGGTACAACCGTAGTGGGAGTGGCAGCATCAACAAGAGCATGAACCTTAGCGGCATCAGTCGCCATCACGAATACACAAAATAGTAAGGAATATAAACTGTTTTAAGATTGTTAAAACAAAAATGGACTAGAGTGTATTCGTAAGAAAAGGTTGTTAGGAAAATGAGAAATCCAAGGCACGTGATAACCACGCTGTCCTCAAAACAATTTAGCCATCTCACAAGTTCTGCTAGAGAAACTGGAATTACTATTTCTCAGGATACAACGGAGACTGTAGGGACTTCTCTGCACTAAGCAACCTTAAGATCGAATTGGATCTTAAAAAAAAAATGATGAAAACCAAAAATAAAGAAAGATAGAAAACTCAGGAAGGAGTTGGAATTGTCAAAAAGGGATACCCAATACTGAAAATGAGCCACTCTTATAAGCTGGAGAAAAAAACCTTGAAATGGTTTAGTTGAAAACAAGAAAACCGTCAAGAGTCATTTCATGTTTAATGCCAAAAATTAAAACAATTTTGGCCATCACTTTAATCTGCCTATTAAGTCTATTAATTCATAGCAGGTTTGTTGTGGCCATTCAAACACATTTAACCATGACCATAATGACAATTGACTCAATAAATCGGAAAAATTTATTCCCGAAACCATTCAAAAACATTTCAACTTCTTAGCATCCCATTTAATCTATTTGAGTTTCTTAGCATCCCATTTAATCCATGTTAAATTTCATATTAAATTCATCCAAACTAGAATTTAATTGGTGATAACAATTCTCCAGTAAATTTATTAGACAACTTAATCTGGATAGAAGCAAAATTTGAGTTGATCAGGCCCGCGATGTTTTGGTCCGGCATTCGTGTCTGCAGGTCGCACACGTACACGATTCAAGCTATTTTGGCGATTGGACCCCATTTGCAGAATAACTTGAACTCATTTTTTCCAACACAATGAGAAACTAAGTTCTCATTCAAACCAAGCTCATTTTCAACATATTGATGGGCTGCGAATGGGATAAAATGATTGAAAATATGTTGTAATTTCTTTAAAAAAAAGAGAGAGAGAGAGAGAGAAAGGACGTCAATGGACCATTAATTAAATATGGATAACTGTTATGGAAATGGAATGAACTTTATCATCTCCATGCGTTGAAAATCATGGTGTGTATGTGTCTCTATGGAAAGCTAACCTGCACCAAAAAAAAAAAAAGGAATTAATTATTTAAACTGAAAAAATAAACTAATTAAACCGATCCAAGGTGCTTTTGTGTATAAAAAAAGGGAACCCAACTGCTGGTGAAGAAAACATCTAAAAAAACTAGAATACACATATAAAGCATCAGATCTGAAGAAGCTCACCACAACACCACAAACGATTCAAGAGGTTTTAACTAGCTAGAAATCGAAATGGTACATTCTCAAATGCTATTGAATTTATAGACATGCTAATTGATCGTTAGCTTGTTGATCTTCGTTTTTTCCTTGCAAGAACTGAATTTCTTAAAATTTATGAAGTCGAATTAATTTTGTTGAATTTAGTTTGATCAATTTTCTTTTGTTGCATTTCAGTGCCATATATGTAAGATGCTTTGCATATTGTATGTAAATTAACTAATGCATGCAGATCAGATCTCCACCCCCACCCACACACCCACACACACACATGTATGAGCTACCACTTGTTTTTTTTTTTTTTTTTTCTACATAGATCATTGAATCTTGTTAATTTATTGAATTAATTTAGTACAACAAATCGCAGGGATAGAAGAAGAGTGCTCCCCCAACAGTATTAATCAAGGAGAGTTCTTCTTGTAGCCTATTAGGAAGCTTTGATCCTTATTTTCTTTTATGACAACCTAACAAGGTAAAGACAGCTCATGATCTTTGCTAATTTTTTAAATTTTTATTGTAATTACTTGATCATGTATAAATGATGTCGTTTACATTTACACATAGTGCTGTATGTTGGGAATTTAACCATTGGGAAAATGGCCATGCATAGGGTCAATGATTAGATTGAAATTGACCTTGATCGCGGGAAAACTATAACTTCTAAGTTTAATAAGGTAGGCCCATCAAATCAATAAGGTACTTCATAAATTTCTCTACACTCATCCGATGAGAGATCTAACCACGGGGAGAAAATTGTTATGGAGGCCCTTAAAACTGGTTAAACTTCTTTGGGGAGATAAACGAGTGCTGAATGGGCGGACCTACATAGGGGCTAGCATAGGCTGGAGCAACCCCCTGCCAGCCGGAAATTTGTTCCGGCTAGCCTATGTCCGCCCCTGTTTATTTACAAAGCACTTCCGAGCTAGATTTGTGCAGATGCTGGGAGAATAAAACGAGGAAGATGATGGACCTTTGACTTTTCTTTTTGGAAATCATGTACTCCAACAAAACGTGTCGTTTTGTTTAATGATCCACTTAACAAAAGCGTGGTTCACCAAGCTTTATTCCTGCCACTTTCTTAACTCACCACATAACCCCAAATCAGCCTTCCAAAATTAACCGTGATATATACAATACTAAAAAATATACTCCCTCCAATCCTTAATATAAAGCATTTTGATTTGTCTTACATTTCATATAGTACGCATTTTTTATTAACAAAAAAAGTTTAAAAATATATTTTCACATTCGTTGTATGTCCATTAAAATTGCGTACTAGGTGAAATTTAGGAAAAGTTAAAATACTATATAATAAGGACGGGAGGAAGTAGCTAAGTATTGCAATCAGCTTTGTGCTTTTTTTCTTTCCCTGATTTGGAAGTTTTTTATGGTTCAATTTGCTTCTTTACATAATATTTTTAAATGGTTGTATTTTTTTTTTCTTATTGCTTTATTTTCGCTTCATTTCCAAGGTTTATTCATTTCTTTATTGAAATATATTCCGAAGGTTTTGTTACTTATTTGCATCTCATTTTGAAAGTTTTCTTTGAAATTTTTATTTATTGCTTTATTTTATTTTTCAAAAATTTCTGATAATTCAATATATTTTGTTATTTTTCTTTGTCATCTAGTATTACACCTTTTATTATTCAGTTCAATAGCACTTCTAGATTATTCGCTATGTTTGAATTGAGTTGAATTTTTAGCGTAATGGCTAGTCAGAAATTATAATTGTAATAATTTGCCATTCTTTTGGCAACTTGGTTGGTGACAAAATGTTAGAAAATATGTACATAAATATTATTTTAAATATTTTTTCCCCATTTATAGTGAGCACCTCCTGTGCTCGTAGTCTAGTTCCGCTGATGTAATTTTGCAGCCACGAACATTAACTTGGCCAAATCACGAAGGAATTACATTATCATTTTCTTTAAAAAAAGAAAGAAAATAAAAAGAAGAGAAGAAGAAGAAGAATTAAAGCGTTTGATCAATTGATAGTAACTAAACATGGTATGTGTCAACGTACTTACCACTAGCAGGGATGCAGAATTATTAATTTACAATGACGACATGCAGCATCAAAACCCTTACACTATATATTAAAATGGTGAAAAAAAATTTCAAAAAAGTAAAATAAACGAGGGGCATAATAGCAGCAGATTGAGGTCAATGAACAGTTTAATTAACTCGAATGCGGCGAGTCATTACCTATTGAGCTTTACGTAAGCCTTCTGAATTAGAATAATTTTTTAAAAGTGAACTAATTAATTTAAATTAAAAGAAGGAAATGAAAGCATGTATGAACTTGAATCTAGTCATGCATATGAAGAATGATAGTCGAATGCTGAGGTTTCTTGCTTCTTCTTTGTTTGTTTGACACATAAAAGAAAGAAAAGAAGAAAGAAACTACTAGGGCTCGCAATTCGCGTCGAGTTCGGGTAAACAAGTTGGGTCGAACCCAGACCCAGAAAAATTATACCTAATCTGAACTCGACCTGTTTAATTATACAGGTCAGGATTACCAACCCTAACCCGGAAAAATTACACCCAAACTGAACTCGACCTGTTTAATTATACAGGTCAGGATTGCCAACCCTAACCCGACCTTTTAACAACCAGGTCAACCCGAGTTAACCTGTTTAACCCGTTGAAAAAAAATAATAAAACTACAAAGCAAAATTTTACAAAGTCAACCTGTTTAATCCGAAAAAACAAACAGAACAATAATACAATCAACATATACAATCAACGGAACTGAGGCCAAATTGAAGAAGTTATTAGCCATCTTTTCTTCAGTGCTTTCTCTCTACTTGCGGCACATACTCCATCATCTTCGAATTCTTGTGCGCCTTTGGTGGCATATATAGTTTATTTATCACTTCCTAAACCCGGAAACAGAAACAATCAGAAATCATAGAATCTACAACCACAAATACCCTCAAGTTCATATAATCACCAAATCCTTTTAGAAAAAATACGGTTTTTTTTTTTTACAGAAACTAATTGAAGAAAAAAAGAAAAACAATCACTGGAGTAGAGATCTCAGAGACAGAGAAACTAGAGGGGCTTATAAATAAGTGAAGATCAACCTCAAAAAATATCAAAACATCAATCAATCAATCAAATGGGAAAGCTTTTGATTCGTCACTCAGATTCGAGAGAATGTACAAGAAAAATCAATAGAATTTAATTGAATTACAGGTTAAGAAGAATCTACCTTGAGACGAAGGAGAGCTTGTTTGCCTATTTCCAATCGCCAAATCCCTTTTCCGGCCTTCCGCTTGTGAAATTTTGAGGGCAATATTGTTGAATATCCTTGGCTCCTCCGCCTCTTTGAATTGCAGATCTTTAATTACTTTGATTTTGGAAGAGTTTTTTTGATTTCTTTCAATTGCAGTTCAATTTCTTTGGTCGGCCGCCGCGGGGGAGAGAGTGAAAGACAGAGAGAGTTGTCTAAAACTCTGATATGAACGAAGTAGTGAAGAGTCCAGAGTGAAGTGAATATTATTAGTTGACCACGTAAAATTCCTAAATTAGGCTTAGAAAATACATATATTACATATATACGGGTCATCCGGATAACCCAGCAAGTTGACCTGAATCCGACTCATATAATAAACAGGTCAATCCTAACCCGACCAATTTATTATATGGGTCTAAAATCTCAACCCGAGTCCGCTAATTTCGTATCGGATTCGTGTAAAAATTCTGATTCATATCAGAAATTGCCGGCCCTAGAAACTACCAAACACATTGCAACCTGTACTGCATATCCATAAATGTCGCGAGCACTACATTAAATAGAAGAAGACAATTTGCTTTAAAATGAGTTCTTCAGTTTAAATTATCTTGCATTGACGGAGATAAATTACAAATGATCAGATTCACCAAAAAGGAATCATTTATCGTCATAATTTAGTTTGTTTTTGGTTTTTTGTTTTTGTTTTTTATTTCAGTCTCTCCACCCTAATTCCTTAACCACCTCACTGACCCACATGCACTTTGTTTTTTCATTCACGTTCAAGAATTAAAAAAATTTACAATATAAACCTTCAATTTCAAAATAATTGTCTTGATTAGATTTCTATTTTTAGTATAATTTATACCATAAGAAAAATCTAAACCCTGCAGTCATGAGGCGAACAGGAGTAATATGGTTTGTGGAACGAAACATGAACTGAGTTTTGCGTATAAATTTTCTGTTTATGTTTCTCAAGTTATGACACTTCTAATTAATTATAGACAATTTGACCAGACTGCATTACCAGGTTATGTCGTCAGCACGTACTATGCCGATGAGGCGGGCAAGGAGTGCTCTTCAGCTCTATAATACCTCAACAACACTATCATTGAGGAGGACTAAGAGCGCTCATGAGTTCTATGAAAGCTCAAAAAGGAGCAATGAGCATCGATCTCCGCCAGAGAGATCTCATAGTAGCAGTACCCTCGAGCGTCTAATGATCATGGTATGGTGTGTGTGCTTTCTTCCCTTTTTTTTTTTTTTTTTCCTTTTTGGAATGCAAAAAACACATTCTCAGAAATAGAAATAGTGAAATTTATAAGTTGTAATATAAAGTATTTTCTAGGACGGAGGGAGTATATTATTTTCTTAACAAAATTGTAGCTTTTTAATAAGCTGCTCAATGACTTAGCTTTTTTTTTTTTTTTTCATGCGAGTAATTAGCGGCACAATGTAGCGCATGACGAAGGCGCTTTGGAGGATCTTGTGATTGAAAACATGGAATCGGTAATAGATGGCAATGTGGTACAGCATCGCAGGGAAGAAAAGATAGCATTTCCTATGATTCATGGCATTCAAAGTGAGAACGAGGATGAGCTTTTAAGGGTACGTAAAGGCAACTATGCTGCAAATGAGAAAGAGGTAGCTTCAAATGTTAATGGCAACAACGGTGCCACAACTGAAGCAAATTATGAAAAGTCTACTCCAAAGGCTAAAGGATACAAATTAAGTATAGCTAAAGGAAATGAAGAATCCCTGCCTCCACGAGAACAACATGGATATCACCTTCTTTCATTGAGATTGTTGGCGGTCCTAGGTGGGGTGGTTGTTGGATATGCCACAAGCTTTTTAGGTATTTCTTTCTTCCCCTAGTTTTTATGTATTTTGGTACGCTACAACATAGTGAATGTGCACATTTTTCGGTCCTTTATATTACCTCTGTCCTAATACAATGGTTCAAATTGAATTTTTAAATTTTTATTAAAAACAGTAAAATCTCAAAATTTAATGTGGACTATTTTTTTGGTATAGACTTAGTATCCATTAGTTAAATTTGATGTTTCAAACAATATTCATATGTTATACTGAAACCGAATTATTAGTTTAAAAACTTTCAAACCTGTTTAATGATCATGCACCTCCACTTCACACTTTTCTGATAATGTAGTAGTATCAAAAAAAAAGAAAATGCCTATAATTCATCGAGGGGATTAGTCACTGTTGTCGACGGTGGACACTCTGCAAATATGAAAAAAAAAAATTTCCTCCAAAACAAAGTACAAAAGCAATTTTTTTATGAAAAATCAGAACTTCAAACTTTTCCAGGAGAATTTCGCCAATTGAATAGCTTACTTGATGCTGCAAGAATTGCTTTCTTTTTCTTTTTTTTTTTTTTTTCCTTCAGTACTTTATCTCATTTGCACTTCGATTTAGTTCTAACCTAGCTACAATGGCCGTGGCCTCCGAAGTATATCCAACATTATACTTTAAAATTGGCTCCCAATCTCTCAATCCTCGCAACTTTTTATTGTATCTCTTGCTTCAAAAATCGTCGAAGTACAAAGTTAACAAATGCGTTCCTCCTCTTACCAAGTAAAATCCATGTCCATTATCATCTTCCCATTGTTAACCTCCCCATCTTCTACTTCTTCCTCTTTCTTCTCCTTTTTTATCTGCACCAATTCCGACAATTCGGAACTGTTAAAATGAATGAAACAAATTGAAAATGTCTTCATGTTTTCTTGTCATACATGGAAGGATGGAGACTCTTGAAACTAACTTATATTCTCCATGTGCTATTCTCCTCATTGCCAATTGATTTTCTGGTGGAACAATATGTGGGCTTATATGAGCCTCCAAGATAGTTTCAGAGTGGGTTTTATCCGCGGACTTGTGGATTTGTGGAGCGAGGTTGATTCACTAAGATTGGACCTTCGCCTTACCTATATTCGAGCTTTGACTTTAAAACTTTGACCAACCGAAAAAATCTTGAGTTTAACTTTGAACTTTAACTGGCCCAACAGACGACAGTTTATTAGAAAAATAACTGATCGCAATACTAAAAAAATTTACAAAAAAAAGTTTAAAATTACCAGTCCAATCCCATTGGACTTGAGAGGGGCGTGTTGAAATGAATGAAACAAATTGAAAATGGTTTAATATTCCCTTGTCCCACATAGAAAAATGGTGATTATTGAAATCAACATATATACCCCATGCGCTACTCTTCTCATTTCTAATTGATTTTTGAGATGTAACCACATGTGAGCTTATATAAGTCTTGTGAGCTTATATAAGTCTTCAAGAGCAACCCACTTCAACCATGCCGATTTTTGTCTAATGCTGAATTTGAAAAGCTTGACTTTTTTGAGCATCATAATAACTTCCAAAAATTGAATCTGGATTTTTTGTACGTGTCTATTAGACAAAGAAGAGTTAGGATTTGACAACCGTTTGTTGTGACAATATGGTGTAATTTTGGAAGTTAATGAATCTGTTCGTATGCCTATTTAGACGCACGGTAAAGAATAATTTGTGTTTTCTAATAAATAATGTTTTATGATTAAAATTGATAGGTCACTGATCAGAAGTTCGAAATTTTCCCGGAAATATCATAGTTTAAGGTTTGATGGGTCAGATATGTTTCAAAAATGTTACGATAGATTTTTATTTTCTGATATGTCTACAACCATAGAGACGGCTCAAGTTCTAAATATAAAGTTTTATAGGTGCTGCCGACTTTAGACAGGGTTTTAATGGTCATCACTTGTAATAATGGGATCATTTTTTATAAATAATAATGATTTATTTGTACTTTTGAAAACCACAACTTTTGTTTCATTTATTCATTAAGAGAAATAAGAAGTTCTGAATGCAAATTTTGTAGGTATTGTTATAATCTGATTTGGTTTTATTTACTGAGAAAACATCAGGGCCTATATTTGATATGCCAAATTTCGTGAAGAAGATGGATCCCTCTTTGGTTCCAAAACAAACATTCTCCACTGGCAGAAACTACTGTGCTTTTTCTGATCCGTCATTTCTGGCCATTTCGTCAATCATCTCTCCTTTCTCTGCCTTCGGTTTATGTTTAGCATTTTTGCTTATGAGAAAGACAGGCCGAAGGCCATTATTATTCATGGGATCCCTCAATGAGATAATTGGAATTGCTTTGGTCTTGTGGTTTCCGAGTGCTTTGATTGCCATTTTTGGATTGGCTTGCATTGGATGTGGAGTTGGACTTCATTGCTTGGTAAGTATATATTTGTCTTTTAAATGATTTTTCTTATTTTTAAATAACCTATAATTTAGCTTCTCCAATCAAATTTGAAAATATTTTAGGCCATCCCAACTCTCTGTTCGGAATTGGCTCCAAAAGAATTAGGTAGACATTTCGGAGCCTTGTTTGGATTTCAAGTGCTAGGAGGAGCACTGGCATCACTAGTGAACCTTGGAGCTTCATTTCAACTTGTATGGGGATGGAGAGTACCATTTGGAGTACTGGGATTCTTGGTAGTCGTACTAATGTTGGTGTCGATACAGATAGATGAAAGTCCAATGTACTATGTTGAGATAAATGAAGAGAAGAGAGGTTTGGAAGTACTAATAAAGATGAGACCCAACCAGTTTGTTGCTGACACAAGAATGGAGTGGGAAAATATCTTAAGGGATGTACGAGAAATCCAAAACACAAGTCAAGTGAAAGAATTGTTAAGCAGGTCCACACGACCTACCATAAGTATAATGCTCGCAGGAGTGTTTTTACCTCAAGTGATAACGACAGCTCCAATGTTGTTTTTCGGCCCAGTAACCGTAGGATCATTGTCCACCTTAAAGAATCAGCAATTTTGTGTAGCTGCAATTGCTGGGGTACTTGGATTTTCGTTCACCTTTTCAACCTCATTGTTTCTACAAAAATTTAAGAGGAGGCGACCATACATTATCTCATTTATTTCAATTGCCGTGTCACAGGTAGGTGTGTCTATTATTTTAAAATTGCTTCCAATCAAGTAAAATATTGCTAAATTAAGATTTTGTCCTATATTTCATCCACGTTGCACTTTGCAGTTTATTTTAGGGGTTGTGTTCGTTTACTTCACTTCCGCTGAGGCAAATATGAAAAAAGGCCATGCCTATGTTGCTTCAACTATGATTGTGATTGCTTTCGTTGGCGTTACCGTATTGATGAGTCCACATGGGTGGATTAACACCCCACTAGGGAGAGATGGTAAATTAGGTGGAGCCTGTGTAGTTGGTTTTGGTTTTCTGGTCACATTTTCTAAAAATATGTATTCAGTAATGCTTCTTTGCAAAATCGGTGGATGGACCTTTTTTGTGGATTTTGGAGTTACGGTGGTGTCCTGTTTGATTTTTTACAAATTTGTGCCAGAGACTACAGGTGTTAAAAGCGATGGTGTTGTGAACATTTGGAGCGAGCATCCCTTTTGGAGAAGATTTCTTGAAGATGGAGTGGCACAAAGCCGCGTAGAACTATCGACTGTTGGTTGAAATCAATTTCATGAATTTCTAAGGCATTAGTTGCTGGTGTCTTTTGTTTTCATGTTCCTGATAAGCTTTCTTGTTCGAATGGTGCACTGTTGAATTTCACTTTTAAACTTACTGTCACAATTGTTGACGTTCAATAACAAGATTTCTGCTAAGTACGTATGAGTTGACTTCATAAGATATCATGGAGGCTTTGAACAATATCCTTTTTGATTCAAATAGTTTGCCTTCCGCACCATCATCTTTAATTTCTGGGATTTCCCTTGTTGTTTATCTTTTTCTTTCCTTGTACAACTGTATATCAATCATTAGTTCGACTCGATACATGCGCTTCCGCTCGTTATTAAATTTTGTGCATCATGTCTAGCCCATTGGAGGTTGTTCAAGGTGTGGAGGTTGAGGGTGGTGATCACATTTCTCGTGAGCTAGAGAGGACTTATTCTCGAAGGGGAACCCATAAGGAGAAATCCGTATCTCGTGAGCCGATGGTTGACTTTGAGAAACGGCTTGCCAAGTTAGAGTTGGTCGTGGCCGACCATTGTGATCGTTGGGAAGAGCAGACTTCCACGGCGGAAGTTATCTCTAAGGAATGCATGGAACAATTCAAGGGTGAGTTGCAAGAGATCATGCAACAAATGCGTGAAGAGATGCTTGGGGCACTCAACAAGGTGTTTGAGAGGGTCACTAAGGCTTGCAATGAAAATGCAGCCAAGGTCACCACGCTCCAAGGTGATGTGCTCAAACTCAGGTGTGAGTTTGAGACTTATCGGACACAAACGGAGTAACTCAAGGTACGAGTGGATGCTCTATGTGCTCAAGGGATGATCGGAGTTGGAGGCCAGCTCCAATGGTCGATGCACCAAAACCAGATGTTTATGCTGGTAGCCGCAAGGCAAGGGATGTAGAGAATTTTCTCTACGGACTTGAAAAGTACTTTGGTGCTGTGGGCTTGGCGGACGATTCGGTAAGACTCTATCAAGCCTCTTGTTATTTAAAAGATAGTACTCTATCTTGGTGGAAACGTATGATGAAACAACTAGGCCAAGAAGCACCAGTTTTCTCAACTTGGGAAGGATTTAAGGAGGAATTTCTTAAATTCCTCCCAGCTGATGCTGAAGTTGAAGCTCGGCCAAACTTCGTCACTTACAACATAAGGAGGGCCACATAAGGAAATAGGTGCAAGAATTCTCTGACCTTATGCTTGAGAATTACGTTTATGCCCATAAGGATTACGTTGAGAATTACGTTTATGCTTGAGAATTCTTGCACATAAGGTCGTCCATAAACGTAAAGAATTACGTTTATGCCTAACGATTGGGTCACTGTTCATGCTTGAGAAGCTTTCTTTACATTTATGGACGACCTTAATCGTTGGGCTAAACTAGAGCTGCAGCGGAGGGATGTTCAAGATATTCAACAAGCTATACGAGCCGCAGAATCTTTTGTGGAGTTTGAAAATAAGCATTACAATAAAGCCACGAGTGAGAAATGTTTCAATGACACAGGTGGAGAAAACAACACGACATCTTATCTGAAATCATTTGAAGGAGCAAAAATCGCCTCCAAAGAGAAGTCAAAAGTAGAGAAAACCAAAAAATTTGAAGGTTGCTTTCTATGTGGAGGGTTTCACTTGGTTCGTGACTGCCCATCTCGTAGTAAACTCGCCGCCATAACTCAAAACTTCCGTGAAGATGATAAGTTAGGACCCAAGGCATCAGGGACGATGACCCATTCACGTGGAGGAGAGTGACACGGCCCAAATATTAAGTAAATTTGGCCCAATAAATTTGGTGGACTTGGGCCCATTTGGAAGTATTGGGTCAAGCCCAATATCCGGAAACTTCTAGAATGTCCTAAAATTATCTAGAGGTTTGTAGTGTATTAGAGAATATGAGTATAATCATGTAGTATTGTCTAGAATGTTGTGGAGATTTCTAGAACATTATAGAATAGTGGAGGAAGTTGTAGGAATTCTCTAGATTTAGGATTTTTAATAATTTATGCAGAATTTTATAGAACTCTAAGGGCTTGGGGTTGCCAACTATAAATACCTCCAAGCCCCATATTGTAAACCGTGAAGAATTCAAGGTGTTGAATTCTAGTTCACAAGTTCTCCTAACCTCTCTTTGAGTCCTCATTCTTTCCTCCTCTTTTTCTTTAAACCTTCAACTTTTCAACTTAATTCTTTTCAAGAATTCGGAGAGTTTTAAGGGTGAGGCTGAGCTAGCATTCTTCATTAGGGGTCTAGAGTGCTAGTGCCGCACGGTTTTAACTTATAAAATAGTTAGCCCGTGACACAAGGATGAATCTCGAGTATCAGATCTTCCAAGAGTGAATCGTGAAATATAGTTGATAAAGATTGTGATAACATCAAATCAGTATCATCAATTGACTTAGCCAAACCACGTATTCACTAAGATGTGAATAGCAACTATAAATTCACTTCTACAATGGACCTATTTTATCTCTATACTGAACCTATCTCCATTCACCTCTGTTCTGAACCCAAATAAGTTCTCTTTTGCAATGGACTTATTCTAATATTTCGAGTGGGCCTATGTTACCAAAAGTCCACTTAAATGAATTTAATCCAACCCCATCAACTATAATTTGCCACCAAAGATAATGTAATTAGCAATTTACACCAAATTTGATGTAATATTATACATTGCACAAAAAAGCGAAATGATTTAGTGTCTTCATTAAAAATGCAAACCTTATACCAAAACACCAAATTTAGTGTTTTGGTGTCCTTGTTGGAAATGCTCTACGCATGGCAAATGATAAAACCATAGCACCTCTTTTATATGTAGAGACATTGTTTTTCTTTTTTTGATTTCTTCTATTACCCGAATTTATTATGTGTCATCTCTTTAATTTGTTTAATCTCTCTTCTTCTTTATAATGAGTGTCAAGATTTCTCCGTTTTTCTTTTTCTTTTTTGGTACAATGAACAAGACCAAGGACTAAAATACTAAAGATATTATCATATTTAGTGGAGTAACAATGAAAGTAAGAATCAAACTTTTATAATCACAGTTCCAAACCAATGCTCATAACTCCGCAATGACTTGAATGATCTCGCTATAGACTCTCAAATTTTTATTCTCTTGTAATATATGTAGCTCAAGTAGCGCAACAACATTAGAGAAGTAACCATAATTAATAAAAGAGAAAACTTAATTTTCAGGTTACTCGAGTCAATGCTTTCAATATCTGAAATGATTTTATTTATAAGAAATCAGAAAGATAAAGTGGATACAAAGCCTTAAAAACTACTAGGTGTTAGACCCGTCCGATGGACGGGGAGAACATGTACATATAGACATTACAACACAAGCAAAGTAATAAAACTATCACTATTTCTATGAATTTTGTACTTTTATAAAATATTAATTATAAATTATATAATTATTTCATTGAAAAATATAAAACACAAACATCAACAACACTTTACAAAATGGTAATAATTTATTTAATGCAAAGAGAATTATTTAAAAAATCTAAAAGAAGGGAATATAGAAAAGAAAAAATAATTAACTTTGAATAGAATGATTATATGTCCTGCAATACTTCTCTGTACGAAATTCATAGTCTTAAATTGACGTTACCACATTCATCGCATATTAGGTTCTTGATTCCTTGTCTCGAAGTGACTATTGATAAGGCGACATATAATTGGTTATGGTTAAAAACTGGACGTGGCAAATAAAATGATTTGTTAATTTAAAGGTGTTAATCGGACCGCCAAATAAACTTAAATGGAAATTATAAAATAGAGATTTAATGGATGAAAATTTCATTAAATAAATTATTACCATTTTGTAAAGTGTTGTTGATGTTTGTATTTTATATTTTTCAATGAAATAATTATATAATTTATAATTAACATTTTATAAAAGTACAAAATCTATAGAAATAGTGATATTTTTATTACTTTGCTTCTGTTGTAATGTCTATATGTACATGTTCTTCCGTCCATCGGACGGGTCTAACACCTAGTACAATATAAATCATAATATAGAGAAAATGAAATTATTCATTATTAGATAAATTTTCAGCATAATGTGGAATGTTGAGAAAGAAAAAAAAAAGCATTCAATTTCGAATTGAATAATTATATATCTTGCAATAATTTAGATCAAAATCATTAAACTTATTTTTAATGACATTCTATGGTAGAATCATTTTTTTCGTTGATTCTAAGGTAGGATCATTTTTTTTACCACATTAATAATATCACTGAAGTTATTTGCATATTTAAATTTGATCTCTCTCAACTTGTTTTTAATAATATCCCACAATTACTTTATAGTGGGTATCTATTTTTTTTCTTAATAATATTGTAAATTTACCCTAGGCATTTCTTAATGATATTGGGGGTGCCTTTTATGTAAGCCTTTACATTTCATTTTCACGTTTTGGTCCAAAATTGTTATATCACATGAGATGAAATAGTCAATTTTGATTTATCATCTTCATGTAAGAGGTAAAGGACCAAATTCATTCCTTTCACAAAACTAAAGCTGAGACAGAGGAAGCATTGGTCTAACAAACGTGATCGAACGGGGGTAGTCCAATGGTATTAAATTTAGAATAGTTTTGTTATTTTGAAAGCAAAATCTTATTAATTATTACTTATATTTATCCTCCTACGAGATTAAAGAATTTAAAAATATTTATTATATTCCCTTATTTGTCTCCAATCCTATCTTTCTTGTTCTTCTTCCTTAATCTTCTCTTTTTGTTCCCGAGGATGAGAGATGCGAGGGATACCTTATGCTTCTCACGTCTTTTTTGCCTGGAGTTTTTTTTAGTTTTATTATTTTATTTTGTGCATTTATAAGTCTAAGAAATTAAGAAAATGCCACATAGGATTAAATCCTATGTGAGATGTGCTCCATGCCTTTAGTTTTCTCTCTGGTTTTTGCCTTAGTATAGTATATAGATAGATTTGGGGTCATAGATCCGGGTCTCACTGCTACATGTATGCCTTCACCATCATCCATGAGTTTATCCACACTAAATCCCATTGACCCAAAAATTATTGAAAATTTTGCATTTTATTTTTAGTTCAAATTTTATTCAACAACAAAAATATTCCCAATATATTCTTAACTAAGTTGGGGTCTGGTCCAGTATAGTTAAATTTTGCGAAAAATAAAAATTCAAATTAGTCACTAATTTTGAAACAGCATACGTCCTATGCCAACTCTACTAAAGATCATATTTTCTATATATTAATAGTAAAATAACCTCGTCTTTCTTTTCCACATTGGCAAATTGGCATGATTCAATTTCAAATAAGCCTTCCCATTTCTAAGTATTCCAAAGTGTTACCAAAATTTACTTTAACTATGGGCTCTGATTGTTGATAGCTTATGACTTTGTATTTATTCAAAGAGAATGTTCTTGGAAGTTAAACTAATCTTTGATTCTTGGCTATTGTTGTTTTGACGTTGTCGATTTTTTTAAATTATTTTTCTCATTACCATATATATTCAGAATCTTCCAAAAGAACTCAAAAATAACACCACCTCTCAATCTCATCAAGAATAGGTGTTTCATCCCCCTTATGTTGTTCCAATCAAGCACTTATCTCCCTATTATGAATCAACAATCGTGGCTCCTGTTAGTTTACCTTTCCTACATACACATATTCCCTAAAGCAGTGGAGGTCAACACGGATCTAATGAAAGCCTGACGGCTTCTAATATCTCCAAATTCATTGTCCAACATATTATTCTGTACAACATTATAATTAAATAAATGCACGAAAACAAATAAGGTTAACATGAATGAAACTAAAGAATTTTCCGTGCATATGGCATTGTTGGCGATATTCTTTTCTAGCTTTTGTATTCATGACATAAAAGCAATAACCGTAAACAATGAAGAACATTTCCCATATTCAACCAGGACGATAGCAAAGGTATAGCTTCCATTTTTTGACTGGGAGTATTTTTTAAACTTTCATATAATTTTTATAAGACGATTGTGAAATGTATTATAACTTCATGTTCTACTTGGTTTTTTTGTCTTTATTGTTTGTAAGAAAATAAAGTTCATTCAATTTTGTTGATCTTTTCCCAGACTACCAGTGGTGACATTTATGATTGCATCGACAGACAAAGCCAAACAGGTTTTAAAGTTCCAACATTACATAAGGTATATATATACATGTATCCAGTAGTAGCATTTAACTTACGAAATTATTAAATTTAAATAATTTTGTGTTAGATGTTTCTTATTCTTGTATAATTGGCTAAAGGCTTTGTATGGACAATGCTTTTATTTTGAATGTAAATACAGCCTAATGTTTCGTTTAAGAACGAATCAAAAGGTTTCGACTTGGATGAAATATGGTCAGGCAAACCTTGCCCTCCTGGAACTATACCAGTTCCACAGAAGACTGGAAAACTTCAAAAGTATACCTTCCCACCAAAGTCATTTCTTAGAGACGGAGAAAGTTATAGCGGCGGAACTGAAGTAAGTATCTAATTATGATTTCCAAAAATTCTCATCATATTGATATAATTCTTCTAAATGTACTTTTGTTCCACTTTGTATTTTCATTTTCATTCAGTTCTCAAAGAATGGTTAACTGTTATATATCTTTAGATACTTCCAAAGAATGCTAAATTACAACAAAGAACATCTTTAAAAATGTTCTAAGAGAATAACTTTCTGAGGGATAGTTTGTTGTTTTTGTAGTTTGTAGGAATTATTGTTAATGAAGGGGAATTAATGGGAGCATATGCTGAGATCACTATATGGAATCCGAAACCAATTCACCCTGGTCAATTCAGTGCCGCTTCAATATTGGTTGAAAATGGGGAAGATGCAATAGAAGCGGGATGGATTGTACGTTGACCCAAATCTTGAACAATGTGATATATACTTGTTTTATTACTCATGGTTCACTTGTCTACCTCATTTTCTTGGTTTTTTGTCCTAAATTGGTTCATTGATATTAATTTGAGAAACCCTTCAGGTCCATCCAGATCTTTATCAAGATACTCAAACTCGCTTATATACTGCTTGGCGGGTATGCTATCCAAAAACTAAGAGAAATGCAGCTTCTTTTTTTTTTTTTTTTTTATTAACCATTGACATTGCATTGAATTCATTTTAGCATTTGTTTCGGTAAATATGTCATTTTGATCAGTTTATAACATTAGGTGAAATTACACCTTATTTCTTCTCTTTTTATGTAACTTCCATTTGAACAGACTGCAACGGGAGGTTACTATAATGTGGACTATCCGGGATTCGTGATAGTTAATGAAGAAATTCCACTGAACTATGTTTTTCCTCGAACCTCTAATGCATGGGGAGAAATTGATCAAGTTGCAATTACAATTCAACGAGTATGTTGTGCTAGAACATTTTGTGATATGAAGAAATCGATTACTTAACATGTTGGTAATATTTATTTTCAGTTGATAATTTTTTTTTTTTTTTTTGCAAAGTTAGCTGACATGACGAGTTTGGGTTTCTTTATTCTTTTTTGAAAAAAAAAAAATAGTAAGGTTAGGTTGGTACTAGCACAAGGTCAAAGATTCAAATTTCAGTTGTAACAACTATTTTACTTCAACATTTTGGCATATTCATAAAAATGGTAAAATGAAAACGATATACCTTATTTATTAAATTTTGTATTAAATTTCGGTTTACCACTAAGCTATTCTTTGTATTTATGCCTTATTTATTAAATTTTGTTCTGAACATTAGGGAGATGAAGCTGGAAATTGGTATTTAACTGTGAACGGAAATGTTCTTGGTTTCTGGAAAGGTGAACTTTTCTCGAAATTGGCTAATTCTGCGGCTACAATCCGATTTGGAGGCCAAGTTTACAGTCGTCCGCCTACCAAAGACAGTCCACCAATGGGAAGTGGACGCTTTGTTAATAATAACCATATAAGGACATGTTATATGCAAAATGTTCAGATTCTTATGGACGAGTTCGTGCCGCCACCAAGCTACACAAAAATTGATCTTACACGTTGTTACGCTTGTGGTGGAGACAATTATGTTGATCAACCTAAACGTGGTGTTAAAGGATTTCATTTCTATATTGGAGGAAAAGGTGGACACGACGGTACCTCTTGTGTATATGTTTAGTTTACTAGAACATGTGCATTTCATTTCTTGTTTGTGATATCCATGTCAGTTCTTGACTTTAATTCAATTATCATATCAGTCAATTTATGGAACTCCTTCATACTAGGGTTGAGCTAGGGTGATAATAAGAATTGTTTTAGTTTCCTAATTGGCATTTTTTGTTGTATGTTCGTTGTGGGTTTTTTTATAATCATTATTTTGTACAGAATAGTCCTAAAAAGGATGGCTCACTTACTTATATATATATATATATATATATATATATATATATATATATATAGCATGGCTCACTTATTTCTTTTGTCCATGGAGATGAAAATCATAGCTTTATTCAAAGAAAAAGAAAAAGAGAACAGTGGAGATTTTTAAGAGAAAACAAGAATAAGATAGATGACATTGTTAAAATATGAAAAATTGGATTATTATTATCATTATTAAAAGTGATAGAACTCATGCCCCTCATCTAATACAAAAAAGAAAAATAAGTGTTTGCAGGGATTTTCAACAAAAAAAAGTTATCAACACTATCTTTACAATCTAGAGTTCACAATCCAGGGGAATTCCATCAATGCGATTCTCGTGATCCATGGCTACTATCCTTGTCCAGATATATGCTTACATATAGTGGATGCCCTTCGACTTAGACTCTTTACTTCTCCCTGTTTTGGTGCGTTTTGGATTCATAGGATAGAGGATTCGGTAGCTCATCAACAAGTTTTTTATACTAAAAACGTTAGCCCTCCGTATGAACAGTGGTCTATGCTACCACCTTTTTGATAAACGCTGCTGGGCGTCTTCCAAGGATCTTTAAAATCTTTCCAATTTTAAAAAATAAATAAAAGGTGAAGTTGTCCAAACATTTTAGAAAATGAGAATTGAAGTGTCGAACTTGAAAGAAAATCTTTTAAAGAGAAGTAAAAAAGTATTTTTTAATCTATCACTCACATTTGTCACTATTGCAAATTATAAGCTCTTTACCATAGACAAAAAAATATTTCAAAAATCTTTCCACTTCATCAAAATTTCGATTATGAGTTCATAGTTTTGTGGAACGATTTTATAAGTTTATTTACTTTCTCTGTCCCAAAATTATTGTCTAGTTTGAGATTTCGCTTTTAATGAAATTTGAACTAAAAATAAAAACCCAAACTAGACAATAATTTTGGGACGGAGGGAGTATGTGATATTGAACTACATCTTGAAACGCGTCACAAATATTTGAAACGATTATCAATATACATTGTTGTAAACATAGTATAAAACATTTTCTTTCTACAAATATTTGAATTTGGAGATCAAAATTAAACATTTGAAAATTGTTCGTGGAGTTAATAGTATTAAACATCTTAAATGAAAATTAAAAATATATGAAATTGGATATGTATTAAAAGTAAAGTATTTTGCGAACAAGGACTTGATTTAGTGGTAAAACCACTCTTGCTCCAAGATGAGGTCATGAGTTCAATCCCCACTCCAACAAAAAGTAAGAGGTTGGCTCTTAACTTGCCTATTGGCACCTCGAGGGAATTGTTATGGCTAACCCATTAATGAACTCTCGATTTCGCACCCAGCTTTTCACACCGGGCTTCCCTAAGATGGTTTACCTCCCACTGTAGTTTGAAGGCTATTGCAGTGGGCATCGCTTTACTCATCTTTTGTGGAGTTCTGGCGTTACCGAAAAAAAGAAAAACATAAGTATTTAAAAGATTCATGCAAGGCACAAGGTTAATAATTTTGGCCAGAATATGAAACAGAACTCTCTTGAAGTTGTTTGTTTTCCAGTTATATCGTGGAAATAAAATTTGTGAATAAATTTGTTTAATGATTTTGTGTAACATGTTTCAAGATATCATTTAAATTATATTTTTACACCGACCGTATGCACTTAGACTTGAAAAATATATAATATTACTATCTTGACAATAATATTTGAAAATCACGCCGAACACATGGGCACAAAACTACAATATATATAGGGAAAATTTAAAATCACGTTGATCATTTTTATGAAACCGTCCCGTTTTTATTCAACTAATCAATATTGAGGATATAAGATATAAAAGTGGGGTGAATAATAATCTAAAATATCCCAAACTAATTGAGAAAATGGTCAATTTTGCCCAAAGCTTCAAGTGTCTTGGTCAGTTTGAACCAAAAGATTTTTTGGAATGCAAATTCATCATCTAAGTTTCAATAATGGCCATTTATTCTAATTAATGAGAATTTTGTTCAATTTAACATATTCACTGATATTCAGTTACTTTGTACAGTTTTTTTTTTGGTTAAAAAATTTGCTAACCCAAAATTTTAACTTTTTATCTACACTACTTTGTTATTTAGTAACATACGCTTATCTTACCAATTAATTATTACAATCGTTGCCACCACATAATTTATCTCTTAATCTAATCCATTGCTCCCATCTTAAGCCCCTACCATTTCTTCCTCTTCCTTCCTTCTTTACTTGTTTTCCGTCGCCGCACCACCACCACCCTATTCCTCTTCTCCCCAAAAAATCTATAATCACCACTTCCTAAACCTGTGAGGATTTCAAACCATCATGAGAAACATAAAAATTTACCTCCAACAACAGTAAACAATCCTCCCTCCATCACTACCAATATTTTCGTCGCCGCCACTTTTCTTCAATTCCACAAAAATTACAAAATGCTTTACTTATCTTTCCTATTTTCTTCCTTCTTCTTCCTGAAAGAAGTAATGGACCTACCTCTGCCTGCACCATTTGTCCCTTGCCCACTTCTTATCCATGGCAGTCGAAAAAGAAATAATTACAAAGATATACTTATCTTTTATAGCCGGTTATTATCAAAATTTCTTTTGATTGTTCCGTTCTTCAAAATTCTTTATGCCCAGAGAATGTCCTTTTACATTTTGTGGGTGGTTATTTAGAGGGTAGTCTCATTTCACTTACTGAAGACATTTTCCATACATTAAACTCATTTCAACTACTACCTTTAAATTCAAGGACTATCATTTAAATCAATGTCATATCCAGAAGAAGGAAAATTAATGCGCCTACATGGCCATTAAGGCGGCCAAAGGTGATGATAGTGGTGTTGACGGCTGGATGTGATGGTAAAACCCACTTTTATTTGTATGTTTTTTTAAAGAAAATAACAAAATAATAAAGATAATGAACAAACAAAATTGATGCTAGATAATAGACTCTCTCAAAATTAATATAATCTTTGGAGTTAATGACGACATTCTCTGAGTGATTTTGTTGAGTATAGTAATTTTTAATGTCATTAAATTTTTATAGTCAATTAAAATAAATTGCACCATACATTACATATAGTGTCTAATTTTTGACATTACTTTTAAGTTAAAAATAAAATAAAGTTAACATTTTAGAATACAATTTTGAAATAAAGAGATGCAAATTAATCTAATAAAAAACGAATTTAATATACATAAATGCAATGCATAATATGATTAAGAGAGTATAAATTAAAAAACGAATAAAAACCTTTTATGTGTATATTTTAGAACAACTAAAATCATTGGGGTTAAAATGTAAAAAAATTATGGGGTCCACAAAATCTTTTTCTAATAAAAAACTGTACAAAATAATAGAGTGTCAGTGGAGGTGTTAGATCTAATAGAATTTTAGTCAATTGGATCAAATTGACCAGAAATTAAAACTTAGATGATGAATTTAGTTTTCCAAAAATATTTGGGTCAAATTGGACAGACACTTGAAGTATTGTGCAAAATTAACCGTTTTCTCAAATTTTTTCTTTTTAATCAGGTGGGTTTAGGTATATTTACTTATGATGCACCATCATTTTAATCCTAAGGTTATGAATTAGCCTAATTAATCCTACGATTAGTATTTTAAAACGGAACCGTCCCGTAACATAACCATCACTTCATTTTGGCACATTTGTTCTAGGTTTTGATTTCACCTTTGGCACTTCATTTTGGCACCTTTGTCTCTAGGTTTTTGTTTCACCTTTGTCACTTTATTTTGGCACCTCTGTCTCGTGGTCTTGGTTTCAACTTTGACACTTCATTTTGGCACCTTTGTCTCTTATGTTTTGGTTTCACCTTTGACACTTTATTTTTGCATCTGTGTCTCTAGGTTTTGATTTCACCTTTGACACTTCATTTTGGCACCTACGATGGTGTACGCTGAGCTTTGGCTTTCATGGCTGCCTTTGATCGAGGTTCTGAAACTTAATTAAATAACGCATAAATGACCCTTGCCACTACTCGATTTTCTTGCTGTATGATTCTAATATTTTGAGGTTTGTTATCGAAACACTTTTGGTCGCTCCAATTTAGGAAAATTTTCCAATTAGAGGTCCTTGTCCCATTACAAAAGCCTCAGTTGTTGATAGGTCCACCGATTTGAATGTATTTCTTTAACTTTCTTTGTTGTAAGGAACTTTTGATTTTTAGTTTCATGACTACGATTATTATGATATGAGCACCATAACTGTTTGAGTCAGCTGTATGCAAGGTTGATCATAGGCAGGGGTGGCCTGAAAGCTTGTGTGTAAGACAAAACCTCAATTCGAGACTCATTCAAAGGAGTCCATCGAGCATTTATATATATATATATATATATATATATATATATATATTCACTTTTGCCTTTGAAAACTTTTCCAGACTTAACTGTCCCATATAATTTGTGCTCTTCTGGTTGTTTTTGTCCTTCTTATCTTGGTTTCTTTTTTCACCTTTTTCCCAACTTTTTGCAATTTTCCTCATCAAGTTTTGAATTGTTGCGGAGGCTGGTGAGTCGACAATTTGGATAAAGAGCTCCGGTATACAAGTGACTCATAAAAGCAGCTATGATAAGCTCTTCATTTGTGGTTGCAAACTTTCGTTGTTGAATCGTGTTGCATAGGCTTGAAGTGTTTCAACTCTTCTATGAAAAAACTCTTGAAAGGTCTTGGTGAATTGATTTCTTTGCTAAAATCTAGTCCCAAACAAGGTCCTATGTTGTTTAAAAGGCCTAAGACTTCCTTCCAGTATTGATTTAATCCACCAAATATAAAAGAAAATATATAAGAAAAGCCTTGCACTTAACATATTCTCAATTCTATTTGGGTGTGAAAAACACAAAACATGATACTTCGATTCGTGTCTCTATTAGAAAAACCTTGGAAAAGCTTCGAAAAGCACGATAAATGTCACCTATTCAACTCAAAAGCTCTTGAAAGGTCTTAGCGGATGCTTTGTTTGCTAAAATCTTGT